CCAAGCAGTACCCGGTTCCCAAGTTTGACAAAATACTAGCTCCGCTTGCCAGCGGCAAATACTTTCCTAAGCTGGATCTTAACAGCGCCCACCAGCAAGTACAAATGTCGGAGGAGTCTAAAAAGCTACGCACGTTGAATACGCACAAAGGATTGTTTGCTGTGAAAAGACTTCCTTTTAGAGTAGCTTCTGCGCCTGCGTTGTTCCAACGCATTATGGACAACATGTTGAAAGGAATATCAGGAGTCATGTGCTATTTAGACGATATTTTGGTCGCATACGCTACTGCTGAAGAACATCTCAGGAACCTCGAAGCCGTGTCTGAGACACTTGCTCGCTGAGATGTCCGCGTCAAAAGCGAAAAGTACGAGTTTTTCAAGGACTGCGAAAGTGCAAGATCTCCGGAATGCCCCTGCTCCAAACACTATCGCACAGCTGCGTTCGCTGCTTGGTCTCGTTAACTATTACGGGAAGTTCCGCGTCTAGCGACGCTTTTGCCAGACATTTCTACAGCCTCTTACAGAAAGATAGCTCCTATGCTCCGTTTCAAACATCGCGTGAAACGCTGGGAAAGCTACTGAAGTAATGCGCATAAAAAAACACAAAAAAAAATGTGTTACTCCGCGAGATTTCGTGGATGAGCGGTACAAGGCGCTGCTCTGGCGATGCCGACGTCTCGGTGGCGGTGGTTCGAATCGACTTAGGGCGCAAAGGTTTTTTTTTAATTTTTTTTCCTCGACCTATTTTTGTGCACGATTGTGCGTATTGCGGAAGTGCATATTTCAATTCCTTTTTTCTTGTTGATTTTTATTTATAAGAAGGTAGAATAGGGGCTGGTGTTCCGCTTGAACTTGCGCCGGCCTTGTCAAAACGGAAGAACGGTCGAGATCCAGGGCGTCTCTATTTAAAGCCGTTTATTTACATGGTAGCGTGAAAATCGGAGAGTACCTTGAGAGTGTGGTGGACGGTCCTTTATATAACGAATACTGTGATTAGGGGACCGCACTGCCATTGGTCAGACGGCTTGGCATTCCCTCACGTGATGTGACTTTATGGAAGTTTCCTTCAGAGTCGGAATACTCGCCGGTGTATGGAAGAAGTCATCCATACGGCAGTATCTCGGTGCTCTGGTGCCGGCGCCCCCATGAACCGGGAGTGATTCACAATAGACGCGTACACAACACACGGCACTCGAGATCAGGATCTGTTGTTTCCTTTTCGAGGAAAGCAGGGCCTCCGAATACAGGCACGGCCATGTGCGTCGTTTACTTAGCCGACCAAGGTTAAGGTGCCTCAGGCAGACGGAGCCAAGGTTACGGTCCCGCAGGCAGAAGAACCCAGACGCTTTGGAATGCAATCACGGGCACCGCCTGCTGTAAGGTCCCGCAAGCAGACGGAGCCGTAGGCACGATTCATCACCGACACAGTTCCTTCTTGAGGCTCATTTCACTTTGAAGCCATAAGGCCGATTTCAACACCAGAAATAACAGGTGGCAGTTCACAACACTGTCCACGTGCTCGGAACTTTCACGTTGCGAGGTCTTCGCTTCGGGGACGCCACCTTGCCAGACACTCCGGTGTCGTTACTGACCGTCCCAGGACCTCACGGACCGACGTCTCCGGGAAACACGTTCTTGAACTCGCGTACACGTTGGCGATCACCTGCTTGCACGTTTGCGAGATCTTCACACAACGAATCTTCGAAAATATCCGAGCAGGAAAAGAAAGCTTCCCGCGTAAAGGGGTGTCCAAACAGGACACTACAAAACGCACGACTCCGACAAATCGCGAAAATTGAAGCGGACGCGCCCGCTTCGGAGTCGTGCGTTTTGTGGTGTCCTGTTTGGACACCATCTTCACGAAACCGGCGAGGCAGGGGCAGCCGCGCAACCCGAAAACCCGAAGCGAGTGCGAGTGCCGCACGAACGAAAACGGAAAATAATTTGGAGTAGTTTACATTATCTTTTCCTTTTTATTGAAAAAGAATCGGTGTTCCCTCGAAATCATAACGCCACTATTAGTTACTAGCTACAAAGATGTACACTTTTCGACATTTTTTTTTTTTTTTCAGGGGCCGCACTATTCTGTGGAGCGAACGTAGTCGCGGTCGGCTGTGCAAACCGGCGCGCTAGCTTTGACTACGTTGCACGCTATGTTGATCGCAGATGTAAAGACTTCTCCCAAACCATCATGGCAGTCCTGTCGTCAGCGGAATTGCTGGCGCACTATGACCCGGCATGGCCACTGCAGCTCTTACGATGCGTCGGCTTATGGCCTCGGTGCAGTGCTGTCACAGGTTATGGAGAACGGTGCGGTGAGACCAATTGCTTACGCCTCCAGAACATTGTCAAAAGCAGAGGAGAACTGTAGCCAGATTGAAAAAGAGGCGCTAGCATTAATCGTTGGCGTAAAATACTTCACTTCTACATCTATGGTCGGGAATTTACTTTATTCGCAGACCATAAGCCATATTACAGACAATTCTTGGGCCAAAGAGCGGCATCCCGACTATGCCGCAGCAAGGCTTCAACGATGGGCTGTAACGCTCTCAGCTTACACATGTCAACTGCTATATAGAACCTTAGCGGAAAACGTGGACGGGAACTGTTTCTCGCGACTGCCGTTAGAGACTAAACATGAGGGCGACAGCTCAACCGAGACGTTCTACACACTACGTTTAGCGTCCCTACCAGTCACCAGCAAGGATATAGCACGTCACACAGAGCGTGATTCGGTTCTGAGTCTTGTGATGGACTTCACCAAAAAAGGTTGGCCCTCGCACCTTGACGACGAACGACTCAAACCCTATTTTGACAGGCGCGGGGAGCTCATGGTTCACGAAGGATGCCTGATGCACGGCCTGCGAGTGATCGAGCCACCGAAATTGCAAGAGCTGGTCCTGGAAGAGCTGCACCAGGGACACCCGGGAATTGTGCGGAGCAAAGAGCTTGCCCGAAGCTACGTGTGGCAACCCTCTGTGGAGAAGACCTGGAAAACCAACTGAGACACTGCATGGCATGCCAGTAGCAGCGCAACATGTCACAAAAGGCGCCACCGCACCCCTGGTCATGGCTCACGCGACCGTGGTCCCGGGTAAATGTAGACTTTGCGGGCCCATTTCGTAATCGTATGCTACTAGTCGTAGTTGACGCTCATTCAAATGGGCTGAAGCGTGCGTTATGACCATTGTGTCTGCAGAGACAACGATAGCAAGACCCCGAGAATTGTTCACTCGGTACGGTGCGCCAGAGGTGCTAGTCAGTGATAACGGCGCACAGTTTACGTCGTACGAATTCAAAATGTTGTTAAAAAAAACACGCAGTTCGACAAGCTCTCACTTCAGCCTGCCACCCAAGCAGTAAGGACCTCGCGGAGAGATTCGTTCAGAAGCTAAAAAACGCACTCCGAAAAGTCCCGGCCACCAAAAATATTTAAAAAAAACTATCAGAATTTCTTCTGGCGTACCGGAACACACCCCACGCAATGACACAAAAAACCCCAGTTTTCCTTTTTCTTCGTAATCAGCCACGCACTCACTTGGACGCTATCAAACCAGCACTTGATCGTCTGTCTGAGCACGTCAGTTCGCACAATCATTGATGCGAAATGGTGTCAACAATGTGTTTAAAGTGAACAATAAAGTGTTCGCGCGCAATTTCAGGAGCGGGCCGAGACGGCTGCATGCTACAGTCCTTCAGCAAACGGGCCCAATGTCCTACGAGCTCAAGGTGCGGACACCACATGGGCCCTGTACTTGGAGACGACACAAGGGCCATTTGCGGCCTGCACACTCCAGTGACGGCACTAGCATTCGTGAGGGAGAAAGAGGCTGTCACCATCTATCCAGCATCGGGAGACGATGCACAAACTTGGCCGTCTCCGCATGCCAACCTGCATGCGCTCGTCACCACAAGCGATGGCTTCCCGGGGCGGTATCCTCACCGGGACAGAGGACCATCTGACTGCTGTTAAGCTTTATGATGTCTCGATTTGCGGTGGAGGAAGTGCTAGAGGCCGCCGCTGTTCCACTATCGGCGCCGAGAGTATGATGTCACTAGTGGGCTATAAAAAGACCACACCGCCATGCGCGACAAACGAGAACAGCCTGGATGCCGGAAAATAAAGTACTTCCCAGCATCCTACCGCTTCATGCTTGTATCTGCCTGTGAATATCACAAAACCTTCACGCGCAACAGCGTTCGCGTGCTCAACTTCAGCTATGTATGTTGAGATTTTGAGTTTTTCAAAGCGTGCCAAATATGATGGTCCTTACGACTGCTCCCTGTAAAAAATAGAAATAACGTTATTTTCTTTTACTGCAATATGAACGCCACCACCGGCGTTGCATCGCTTTATTACATCAATATCTTAAAAAGAAATAAAACCTGGGAAGAATGAAAGCTACGACACCTAAGATATTTCTTGGCATCTCTAATGGACTGTTTTATTATGATTGGTTTTATTTCTTGAGAGACGTTGGGCGCGTTGAAATCTGTAAAGCCACAGACACGCAGCTTTTTTTTTTCAATACCCCTTTCACAAATGTACAGTTTGTGGCAAAATACAAGTGATTTAATTGTTTTCTACTCTTCCGTAAATGCCTTTAATTTGTAAACTGTCACCGCGTGACACAAATATCCTTTACTTCTCTTATTCGTTTTCTCCTCACCATATCCCCAATGACAACCATACTCGGTCGATATACAAGTGCAATTCACTGACCACAAATTGCTACACTCAAATAAGATAAATAGCGAAATATATGAACAGTATATTGAGATATTTAGGCCGTACCTAGAGTGTAGTAAGTAGTAAGGGCCACCCACACTAGCGAGAAAACGCTCCCGGCGCGCCGATAAATCGGTTAAGCGGGAAGATAAAGGGCGTGTCTCTGCACGCGCTCGTGGCGCTGACTGTGCTTCGGCGCCATTTTATTACTTGCCGCGATCGGCGTGCCACGCGCGTTTTCTCGCTAGTGTGGGCGGCCCTGTACTCTTACTTTTTTTTTTACCGCAACTCGGCAAAAACCGATCACTATGGCCCGTACAACCAATCAGAGCGATGGCGGCGAAGTATGGGACAGTTCTTATCAAAGGGGCGAGCGGGGGAGTCGGTGACCTAGTATGTTTACGCACCGTAGCTCAGAGCGCGTGGAGCAAAAGCTCCCTCTGCAAAACCCCATGGCTCCTGGCTCAAATCCCCACCCCTGGGCCCATTTTAATCTCGATGATCATCGTACCTGTGTAAGGTCGCGTATCCCTACAGCGTGGTACACGTTAAAGAACCGGGGCTAGCGGTTGTACGGAACCGCATAAATTGCTCATCTACAGCTGAGATACCAGACGCCCGTTGAGGCAGACTAACCTCTCGCTGTCTAAAGATACACGCAACACAATTACTTTTACAGGGGCGGGGGAGCGTAACCAAAGTAGTTGGAGATGAGGAGAAGGAGGAATATTCTCTTACCCTCAAAAATTAGCCTGTCATTAAACATCTCTACAAAGGCGGCTTTGTTATCTCTCCCGCCCTTGGTTTTGATGACAACGCGCTGAGTGCCTCACCGGAACAGCCTTCGCCGTTTGCCAAGGCCTGGTGTTGATTATATCCAGCCCTAGTACATCAATGCAAGTATCCCTTCAAGTTGTACCCGAACAGCTCGAAATCATAGAAGTAACGCCTGTACAGCTGCATCACTTGACTAGAAGACAACTCGGCAAAGTACTCCTTGGCACTCTTCCTCGCGCCACCTTTTTCCCCAGCGTCCCCCACCGTCCTCGTGTTCTTCCGCGGAACCACGTCACCGCTCGCGAGCCCCATGCGCGAAAAAAGGGTCCTAAAGTCCCTGTCGCCAGTCTCCAGTTTCCCGACCACGTTGTAGTCGAAGAGGCACGGCTCGCACCTCGAGTAGTACGGCGCCCAATGGTCGTCCCACAGCGCGTCCGGCTGGGCGAGAATGTAGTCCACAAACAGCGGAAAGGTCATCCGGACGCCGGTTGTCTCGTTCCCGGCGAGACCGGCTAACGCCCTGTCCCAGTATACATCGTAGAAGAACGGCTCTGCGGACCTGGGCCTTCCTGCCTTGTCCACGAATGCGGACACTAGTCTTTCGAACGGGTGTCTCACAAACACGGCCCTGGTGTAGGTCTTGAGCTTGCTTCGCGGGAAGTGGCTGGGGCCCACCCGGAGCACCTCGGCGTTGAAGATCTCGTGGATGGCGTCGGCGCTGTCCGCGGGGCGGCTGATGTTGAGCAGGGCCGCGAACAGGGACTTGACGCTCGTGGACGCAACCTTTGGCACGAAGCAGAAGGCGACGCGGTGCGAGCGGTCCACGAAGATGGGGCACCGTCTCGGAGGACAGTGCGACGGCCGGCCCAGCCGCCGGTTGCTGCGGGTGCCCAGGTAGTGGGCACCCAGCAAGGCCCTCTTGTGCTTCAGGCAGGTCTCCCGGATTCTGGCCAGTCGAGACTCCAAGTCGTCCACGGCCGCCTCGGTGACCTAAACAACGAGGCGGCATGTTAGCATCGAACCGCAGAGCTTCCACTGACTAAGTGGAAGGGAGCTTATACGCCAGCTGTTTTTTATTTTTATTTATTTGAGCCCAGCGCCCGACACGACGCTATTGGCACTTTGCAGCCGCTGTGCATGGACGCCGCCCTAACCGACCGTCAGTTTTGGTTTCCTCTTATTTTGATCTCTTCGCACCATCATTACCGCACAAGACAGGTTATTTCTATTTTAGGTTCGACCGTGTCCTTGCTCCCAGCATTGGCCCTTGTGGAGGCTCGTCAATGCCCGCTTCAGTGGCTTGGTATCTCTGTAAGACTAGAGAAGGTCAGCGATGGCGTCTGTAAGCTTGCGCGTGTGCGAAGCGTCTAGATCCCAAGTGACGCTTTTGGAGGAACCAATACTCAGCCAAAACATACCTATGATCCCCGTCCTCTGATTTAGTTTTGGCCGATAATCCCCTTCGAGTTCTGGAGGCTGGTAAGGAAGGATCCTTCGTATTGATGCCGGAAGAACACTATAATGAAAAAGCCTGCACAGCCATGAGTAAGAACTTCAAGCAGGTGCAAGTGTCCCCAAACAGATTAAGGCGCAGGAATTAAAGCTCTGTGAACGCCACTCGTTGACACTATTGGCCGGAAACACCAAGAAAGCAACAGGGCTTAACATTGAGGTGTTCTTTAGTGTGAAAACCATTAAGGAAGCCTGCCCATTCCGTGCCACCATCACTGAGAGAGGCTCATGGCAGCGCAAGATGGGTAACTTTCTTCAAAAACACTCATTTAGGAGCCGCACCAGGGCGATCCCTGATGCAGCTCCTAAATTTCGTCCTGCACACCAAAATTTAGGAGTGAAAATTTCACTCCTAAATTTAGGAGTGAAAATTTTCACTCCTAAATTTCGGATTGAAAATTAGGACCCCTTTTTAGTCAGCAATTCTTAACCAATAGTGGAACCTTTAAAGAACAATAACTTTAAGAACCACTTTTAGTTCAACCTAGACGTACAAGACCTTTTTTATTCCCTTCCACACGAAACCTTAGTGGCCTCAGTCAAGTCCTGTATTGAAGAGCAAAGGGAGCTCTCCTTTAGGAATTTTAGTGGTGTGTATTTAGAAGGCTTTCTAGAACTTATGCAATTCTATCTGAACTCTATGATCGTTGGGGGAAAAATGATACCATTATACAGCGGTCAGGTGTGTGCATAGGATCATGGTGGTCCCCGTGCTTAGTGACATTTTTTTAGCAAGTGTTGATAGAGCAATGGATGGTGTTCTCAACAGATCGCAAGTGTCAAACTTGTTTCGATATGTTGACGATTTTTTGCTAGTGTATCCCAAGTTTGCTTAAGGTAATAACGTTGATAAGGTTATGAGCGTAATTTCCAAGTGTGGCTTTGGTCTTAAATACACAGTTGAAAAACATTTCGACGGGAAGTCACATTTCCTAAACCTTTCGTTATCTTTTCATACAAACCATATCTGCTAGAGTTTCTCACCTAGGTCAAAAAAGGGCATCCTTCATTATACATCAGCATACTCGAAAGTAGTTAAAAGCGGTATAGCGATTTGCATACTTGGAGCTGCGCTTACAAGTCCTGTTTTCACACTGTTCGTATAAGTTTTAAAGCTCAAGTTGAGAGACCCCATACGTCAAACTTCCCATCATAGGTTTTACACGAGGTGGTGGGGGCCTTGGTACGTAAGACAAAGGGATTCAGCGAAAGAAACCTAGAGATCAGCAGAAACAAAAGGTAGTTGTACCATACCTGCACAAAACCTCGCATAATTTAAAAAGAGCAGCCGTAAAGTACGATGTGCCTGTGGTGTTTTCAGCTCCCAAAAGAATGGCGCAAATCTGTTCAAAGGTTCGCTCGATAGCGAAAACCTTAAGAAAAGTTAAGTGCCAGAAACGGCACCTGTCACCCTTATGTGTCGTGTTCAATATACCTATTGCTAAATTACCCAAACATCAAGAAGAATGCAGGGATTGGTGTTCCAAGCGCCGCACGCGCACGCCTTCCCTGTAAAAATATTCGAGGTAAGTAGCCAAAATAAAGCGTTAACGAACGCGCGTACAAGATGCTATTTCTTTTAGGCATTTGCTTTAGAAAAGTTACTACTGCTGAGGCAAGCACGTGCGGTGCGCGGAACACCAATCCTTGCATTCTCCTTGATACATTGGGTAATTTAGCAATAGGTCTATTGGCGTTGTGTACAAGACAAGACGACTCGCGAAATATTGGAAGCGCATTGCATTAACAGCTTAGGGGACTGCTGCATTAGCCACCCATCAGTGACACTGTTTGAAACCGAAACCTTGTTTTTAGATCGGACTATGGGGCAAAGGCATTGTAGTTAAACTGTGTTGTGTCCCGTGTGACACGCACTGCGTGCTCTGCGTGTCTTTTAGAACGTCCCAGTTAAGTATATAGAAATCATGCTTATTTATTAGGGTGTTTTCTTTTGGTTAGGAAAGTTTATCTTTCCAGAGTTGCGTCGGCATTGTGTTTTTTTAGCTTTCTACGTTTGGGTCGGCGGGGCCAGGGCGGCTGCGGTGCGGGAGCGGTCCCCCCCGCGGTCGTTAAGAAGCGTCTCGGGTTTCGGGAGTCTGCTCGGACCGGGACCGAAAGAGCCCGCGCTGGAAGATGTCTGTGCCTTATAATCGAATGTCTGTATATGCAAAGGGTTTTGCCGATTAGTGTAAAATTGTCCTTTTTGCCCGATGCAATAATTTAGCGGTTGGCGCCAGTCAGGCTGGGAAAATTGCAGAGAACAACTCTACAAGGAGTTTGGGTTTGGCAGTTCGGACGCCAAAATGACAGCTCGCCGACCATTGGAGAACAGTGTACCACGTGTGAGTGGCGGAATTTGAAGAGATTGGTCGGTTCCTGATGGGAAAGGAGGCCCCTACGGGCCTCCAAAAAGAGCGCGGAGAGGATTTTGAGGGATTCGGACTTTGGATTTGATGGAGAGAAATTGGGGACGGGGGTCGAGACTTTAGACGAGGCAGGATGGTTTCCCAGGTTGGGACTTGTAACTAAAGTGTAAATAAATGCACATAGTTCTCTACAAGCAGTGAGTCGACCCGTCACTCAGCGACGTTCGTGCCACCACGCTCCAGACCATCGAAGCGGAACCTGCCTCCCACACCACCGGGAAAAACAACAAAAACAACAACTTTAACTTCCCCTTCTTGCTTTTGTGTATTCGCGACTTCAGCAACCTATAGGGGGCGCCACCACCAAACAAACATGGCGGCTGAGTCCAGGTTGCGTCAGCTCGGCCGGGCCGCCTGAACAGGTGGCGCGTTCAATTTAACTCATATTCTTTTGTTTAATGCCCAATTTTATAGGTATTTGAAATTAGACGGCTAAGTGTAGCCGGTGCACATAAGCTTGCCAAGCATAGTTTTGTTTACCCGGTGTCTTCTTGTTCTTTTCATGTCAAACTTTCGTTTCAGAGATTCCGTTCAAAACCGAAACTATGGACTCCGGAGAGACGGTAATATACTAATCAGTTTTGATCATCTAAGGAAAACGGCAATGACTACAGAGTTGTTCCACCGAAAGTAATTTTCAGCTAACTCGCATGTCTCGACCATCCGACTTATCTGTCCGCGAAATCGAGCTTTTGTGCGTATCCGCGTTTAAGAAACAGCTCCAGTCGTCTGCTCTCTCAACAACACAGGCTGCAGGAAAATTACGAAAATTAAGCAAGCGCTTCTTGAGCCAAGGACCATGTTAACCCGCCGGCGCCCCACTAAGCAGCTGAAACTCGTATTTCAATTCAGGTTTTAGTAGCAATCGAGAAGTCATTTTGACGAGCGGGTTATGTATTATATTACGTACTATGTTCCACTAAAGCGATATTAGTATATTCTTTGGGTTGAAATATGAACGTAATTGACTAGCTAATAGGTTAACTGCCGAATAAAAGTATATTTGATAGACAGAGAGATTCTACTTAAACTTAGCCAAATTGTTTTAGCCGGCAGCACGGAGACAAACTGAAGAGAGTCTTCATCGGAGGTTCACACAGAACCTCTCTGCATTAAACTTCGCTTCGAATCCTGAACGGAGAAATTTAGTATTTTTTGTGGCCGGTCAACCTGAGCAATGTGGACGTATATTGTTGCTGGCTCCGACGGGGGTATAATATAAATATTGGAGGCGCGATAGATCATAATGCCGTGACAGCTTCTAACGTTGCGAGACTCATCCCCCACCTTTTGAAAACAGATAATTTCCCTCATTCATCATTTGCAGCGAGCAGGTTTCCTGAATCAAGTAATTGCGAAATCAGCCCAACTCCTTCAGTGTGGTTCAGAGACTTTTTCGGCGAAAAGCAGGCAAGATGAATAGCCAACGCACCGACCGGCGTGGGTGGCTCAAACTTGAAGCTAACCAAACACAACCAAACTCAAGAAAAACAGCTATCGAAAGTTCCCATTCACTTGACTGCAACATTGGTGTTCCCTCCAGTGAAATGCCTCGTCTGTCGTCCTCAGTCCACTGTTCTGCATCCTTATAAAGAAACCACTCATCAGTTACCAAGCAGTCGTCACTTTGAATGTGATTCGAGACAGACAAGAAATCGAAACGTTTTTCGTGATTCCTCCCCATTCAAGAAATCGAAAGCACGCGACCGTGTTGTTGTGGAGTAAACGGGCTTTCAAACACGTGATAGAAGACAATCTACTGAGGCTTCACCACACTAATGAACACTCAGGCAAACTTAAGAAATTTCCGGACCTTCGTCAAATTAGATTGTTCGCCACCGCGCCGACAACACGTGTCCGCGAAAGCCACCAGAGACGCAGAGGGGCGCGGAGCGACCTGGTCCGGCTGGTTCCCGGTTTTCCCGCTTGGTGGCGTCCGTTTTGCTGGAGTCGCGAATAAATTCAGTTGCGAGTCAGCGCTTGTGTGTTGTGCATGTTCCTTCTCTCTGTCCTTTTCTTTTTGTGCGCTGCTCTGTTCACCATCTCATAATA